TTTGTATATATATATCTATATATATATATATATATATATATATATATATATATATATATATACACACACACATACATACATATTTGCCCTCTTTTTAATTAACTAAAGTTTCAATATGTCTCTATATCGAATTTCATATATAGTGTTTATCATATAAAAAATGATATCAAACAAGAAAACTTTTTACAAATGACCCATTAACATAATTGTTCTCAAATGTATCTTTATTTAAGATTTTTTTTTCATATAATCCTCTCAATTATTATCTCATAAATATTTTTTTTTCTATTTTTGTCTTTATTGATGTGTCTCTACATAAACATTTGTTTTATTACGGCACTCTCAACTACTAGTTGTTCATATGCATTTTTTAAATAATTTTCATCTAATTTGCCATGCCACTAAAATCTATAATATTCAAATATGTTCTACGTTTAGAGATAATGGCAAGGAATAAAATTGTATGAAATGGCTTAAACAATTTTCAATTCATAACGACAATTACAATATATACACTTTTGGTCTTCATACAATAAGGAAAGAAGAACAAAGTCTGTACAGATTTCCTAAGTAAAAAAAAAAAAAAAAAAAGTAATTACACAATATTACAAAATATTGCCATAAAGCATAATCCCATGATTCATGATATTGATTGAGTTTGACTCTCCTTCTCACTACGTATCTATATATATATATATATATATATACATATAATATTGAACAGAAACACAGTTTGATTGAAAACATTCATTTTCAGCCCATTCTACTAGGTTTTTTTTTTTTTACTAACTAAAAACTTAAGAGAATGATTACAAAAATTAAACTCTTCAAAAAAATTTATGTTTATCCAAGAAATTCAATAAACTAAATATGTACGCGTGTAACACAAAGGGCACGTTTGTTTCTGGTTTAGAAAACGTTTTGTACATTTTTCGAGGAGAACAAATTGAAACTGAAAAGGAGATCGTGTTGGGTGAAGCACCGTACCAAAATTAAAAACAAAAACGTTTTTGTATTTTTTCCAAAAACTCATACTTTTCTAAAAATAGATTAAAGTCGTTTCATTTTTTCCGTTTTCATTTTCTCCAGCTTACCTCCATCCCTCTCGGCGTTCTCTTCTCTCGCTCTGCGCCGTTCTCTTTTCTCCCACTTCGCCATTCTCTTCTCTCCTTCTCGCCGTTCTCTTCTCTCCCTCTCGCGGTGGGCTTCTAGCTGGAATTGTAAGTCTCGGGATCTAAACGGCAGCCTTCTTCTCCGGTTTCTTCTCGGTCTCTGACTCTGCTCTTCGCCCCTACTCCTCCAAATCAACCGAGGTATGCCCATAAATCTGATTTGCTGATGATTTTTTCCAGTATTGCCGGTATTTGCTGAAGATCTAGGTGTTTGGCAGGGATCATCGGATTTCTTACCCGGCAAGGTTTGGAAGAACTTGTTATTATAATGAAAATGGTGGTGGTGGTTATCAGGTGACTGTGGCTGTTCCTGAGGTTTCTCACTTGGGTT